TCGATCAGTTACTATGATTCACCACAACACCGGGCAGAACCCGCATTGGTTTTTACTCTAATAAATACATCCCTTCCGCAGATAGTCGGGACTTTTCGCATGTATTAGCTCTAGAATTACTACGGTTATCCAAGTAGTAAGGGTACAATCAAATAAACGATAACTGATTTAATGAGCCATTCGCAGTTTCACAGTACTAGTGCTTATACTTAGACATGCATGGCTTAATCTTTGAGACAAATATGACTACTGGCAGGATCAACCAGGTAGCTATCCGCACGGAGACGTCCCCGACCCTAGGCCACTAAGCCAAGCCAAGGGTACGCTCCAGCCACAAGCCTCTTGCCGTAGCCGACGAGGCTGGACTTTCCAATCACTTCCGCACTTTCTGCGCTTTCTGCACTCAGCCAAAGGGCACCAACGGAGAAGGGCACAAAACCGCCTCTCCTTCCACCCTAAGCAAGCAGAACTTCTATGCCACGTCTTTCTGCCTACCCAGTGCGATTCCAAAAGCATGCTGTTCGAACGCCTACCAGTCCGCAGGATGCAGGAACGCACGTCAGCGAAGGAACGCTCACCTTCCTTCCAACGATGCCAAGCACATATCTCACCAAAGGCCATCTCCTACAACGAGCCATCACCTTCTTCGACGTCTAAGGAAACATCGTTCTATTCCTATCAGCAATCTGGCTGCACGACCAAAAAACCTCACAAACTGCTTCAGTAGTACTCCAGGGCGCTTGCAAATGACGCGGGAACCGTATGTCTGACGAACAGGGCTTACTGACTCGCCGGTTCCCTCGCTCGCATCAACCGAGCTAACGAGCCCACCTGTCCCTATGTAGGATTTCAACGTCTTTTTGTCCGCACAGCTGAGCACACTTGGAAAAAATTGCCAAAATTCGAAAAAAATTTTTTTTTCGACCGACCCCCAAAAAGTGGTACCACCTCGAAGGGTAAGACGAGGCCAAACTGCGCATGTACGTTTCAGCTCGCTCGGGCCCAGTCTCGCGCGGCCACACTGCAAAAAGACCATTTTCTATGGGCAGGAGATCCCCTCAACGACCTTTAACAAAAAAACTATTGACGCCAGCAGCTAGATCTCATAACTTTTGATTGACATTTCACAGTCTACGCCCACTCGGCTCAATCCCCGCGCGGCCAGAGCCAAGAAACCACTCTCTCTCTTCCCAGGAGACCCCTTAGACGACATTTCAAGAAAAAAATTTTTGCCCCAATTGTATATCATCATTCTCGACTGACATTTCGGAGTCTACGCCCCCTCCCCCCAGTTCCCGCGCGGCCAGCGCCAGAAAACCGCTTCTTCGCATCTAAGCAGAGCCTTTTAGCGACCCTTTTCCACCTTTTTAACACCACTAGCATGTAGCACGGGTCCAAGTGAACTTCGTCCCGGAACATCAGCATCTCGGGTCCAATCCTCGCGCGGCCAGCGCCAAAAAACCGCTTTTCCATAGGTTAGAAGAGCCCTTTAGCGACCGTTTTCGACCTTTTTAACACCACCAGCAGGTAGCACATGTCCAAGTGAACTTTGGCCCGGAACATCAGCATCTCGGGTCCAATCTTCGCGCGGCCAGCGCCAAAAAACCGCTTTTGGATACGTTAGAAGAGCCCTTTAGCGACCGTTTTTGACCTTTTTAACACCACCAGCAGGTAGCACGGGTCCAAGTGAACTTCGTCCCGGAACATCAGCATCTCGGGTCCAATCCTCGCGCGGCCAGCGCCAAAAAACCGCTTTTTCATAGGTTAGAAGAGCCCTTTAGCGACCGTTTTTGACCTTTTTAACACCACCAACAGGTAGCACGGGTCCAAGTGAACTTCTGCTCGGAACATCAGCATCTCGGGTCCAATCCTCGCGCGGCCAGCGCCAAAAAACCGCTTTTCCATAGGTTAGAAGAGCCCTTTAGCGACCGTTTTCGACCTTTTTAACACCACCAGCAGGTAGCACATGTCCAAGTGAACTTTGGCCCGGAACATCAGCATCTCGGGTCCAATCTTCGCGCGGCCAGCGCCAAAAAACCGCTTTTGGATACGTTAGAAGAGCCCTTTAGCGACCGTTTTTGATCTTTTTAACACCACCAGCAGGTAGCACGGATCCAAGTGAACTTCGGCCCGGAACATCAGCATCTCGGGTCCAATCCTCGCGCGGCCAGCGCCAAAAAACCGCTTTTTCATAGGTTAGAAGAGCCCTTTAGCGACCGTTTTTGACCTTTTTAACACCATCAGCAGGTAGCACGGGTCCAAGTGAACTTCTGCCCGGAACATCAGCATCTCGGGTCCAATCTTCGCGCGGCCAGCGCCAAAAAACCGCTTTTGGATACGTTAGAAGAGCCCTTTAGCGACCGTTTTGGACCTTTTTAACACCACCAGCAGGTAGTACGGGTCGAAGTGAACTTCGGTCCGGAATATCAGCATCTCGGGTCCAATCCTCGCGCGGCCAGCGCCAAAAAACCGCTTTTCCATAGGTTAGAAGAGCCCTTTA